AAAATGTAATTTTTTAAAATAATTTTATTGATTAAATTTAGTAAATTTATCTTATAAACCAGCGTAAGGCTTACATTTCTGATAAATTTAACAATTATTATGAATAATAACTGATCTTATAATTTTATTTTAAATATTTTTTATTGAAGGTAACACGATAAGATAATTTCTTTATTTCTATTTTTTTTAAGTAGATAGTGTTTTTGATTAATTGCTTTGAANTTCAAAAAAGATCGGCGTATAGTTATTAATATGCGAATTAAATAATTCTGTTTTAAAATGTAGATTATTTTCTGTAATCAATATTTAAAAATTGCACACCTATAAATTTCCCTTGGCATCCATCTGTATAGCTGTCTGTCCTTTCTTAATCTCGAAAATGGAGTTATATAGATAAAAGTCGAGACCAGATACGGCATGGTACGTTATTTCAATTCAAAAAATTTCCTCCTGAAAGGAGTTAGATAGATGACCGATCTCTTCCCATCTTCTTCGTCACACTTCTGTTCAAATAAACACGAAACTAACAGAATTATAACAGTATAATCTACATAAAAGTATATAATTAAGTTATTCGTAAAGAATTTTTAAATCGATAATGAAGCATGCAAATCTATCAATGAGTTCACTATGAAATTTGAGTTTTAAAACAATTTTTTTAAAATAATTAACGAACTTATTGAATTAATGAAATTAATAAATTCCTTTCTATTATAATTAATAGAAAGGAGCAATTAGAAGCTCTCTTAAATTAGTCGTGCATCCAGTGTTTTAATAAAGTAATGGAGAAGTCGTTTACGCGTACATGCAAGAAAAATTTAGTAAATTCAGATAAAATAAAGCAAATTTGTCAGTTTTTTTTAAACCCAAAATTATTTTTCCCATTTAAAATAAGGTTTAAATATAAAAGTTGAACTAATTATTTAGCAGAGATGACTGGCTTTCGCGGTTACACTGCTACAATCCCTGCCTTTTTGATTAATTAGAATGACTATCAATATAGTGAAATCTCAAGAGACTGAACTATATCAAGACCTCGCTTTATACGTAAAGAATAGCAGAGGATCTAGAAAATTGTTCACTATATCGGATGGTTACTATAACAATAGTATGCTTATATTATAATTTTAATCTCAGCCCTCCATAAGAAAGCACCCACAAGTAGCCGAGTGAATAACACTATTGAAGTTGTCGTGGGTTCGAGCCCGACCAATAGGCTGGTCACGGCTTTTCTTTAATAACACTTAAATAGGAACCAGTTTTCATAAAAATTCCTCCCGGGAGGCACTCCATTTTGGCAGATCTTCATTGGCCCGTTATGGCTTCACCGGGGCTCATGCAAATTTGAATTATGGGACCCCCGTGAACAGTGTTAACGTCAGACATTTTTATTCGGGGGAATGTTTTGTGGAAAATATTTTCTTATAAAAGATTGTTTTTGACCCCCCCTATTGGTGTGGGCCCCAGTCAAATTGCCCTTTTTTCCCATAGAATAAAGCGTCAGTCATGTGTTGAGTTGCCTAATCCTACGTCTTACGAGCTCCAACTGCATATATTTTTACTCTTTTAAAATAAACGGATGCATTTTTTCATAAATTTTTGCTAAGTAATAAACACTATACTTGATTCATAAGCGAGATATTCAATAGTTTTTAGCATATTCTATGTTAAATAATTCATATGGCATTAAATATTCCCTGGCAGCTTACATCAGAGGAGTTTAAAAGTGTTTTTGAATGAGGAAAAGAAAAAATCACTCAACCAAAATTCAGTAAATAGAATTTGAAATTAAAAAAAGAGAAAAGAAAATAGGTAATTTACTTAAATAATGGTGAAACTTGACTCCTTCGTAAACGTTCATGTGGGGGTGACGAGCGTATATTTAAATCAGACAGTGAAAGAAATTCGATAGTTTCAAAATGCAAATAACTTAGTCTATCAGTCTTAATCAAACAATCTTAATTTACAAGTACAATGAGTTAAAACGAATATCAATCAAAATATTCTATAATTTTATGAATAAACGAGTATTAAATATGTCCTCATCCCTCACCATACAATCTCCATCAACGAGGGCCTGACCATCCCCTCGTTGAGAATGGAAAAAAAGACCCTTTAGTGTCCACAATAAGGAGGGATTTTAAAAAATTTAACCTGATTGGCTGAACACTATAGTCTAAAGCAAGAAGGGCTGGACTTGTTTGTGTATCCCTGAACTATAATATATATAACAGGTTCTTTCCCTCCACCAAACAATGATGTGTAAGAACACGAGGCCCTATGCTATGCACTTACAACAAGAGGCCCTAAGCTATACTCATAACACAAGGTGCAAGTTATAGTTTTTATAACTTATAAGAGAATTCTGTTCTGGAAGGTGACAGTATTTTGCGTTTAACTCGAGAAACCAGCCCGAAAGTTAGTTAACCTTTAGAAAGATTGGGATATTCACACAAGATACGGTTAACTGACTTTTGAGCCAGAATGTATATTAAATACAAAAATAATATAATGTTTAAAATATTTATACGAAAGATCACCGTATTTTTGACGGAAAACAAATGTGAAGTGCGAATTAATTTTTGACGTATTGACTTTATCTGTAATTATTTCGATAATGGCAAAACCTTTCAAGTTAATACTAAGTTAGTTGCTTAGACGGACAAACAAACGAACGATCAATGTCATTGGCAATAATTGACGCTATCGTATTGATACGGTGAATGCTTTTAATGATAAGGAGGATATAATTAAGTAGGCGATCAACTGCACTTTTCAATTTAATTTAATCTCTAGTTGTCATCACTCGAATTTTCCTTGAAATATGAAAAGATAATTCCGCTTTCAAATAGTATTTTCTTTATTCTTTTTCACTAATTTGTCTGTTTTTGAATTTTGCTATTAATTATTTTATTAAATCCTTCATTACTTTTTAAAATTTGAATTTTAAATGCAGTTATATTGAAATTTCAATAGCATCTAAGGCTAAACGTCTCTCGTTTCACAGGTCTCAAGAACTCGGAATTGTTTACGATGATGACGATTGGGAATAATGATAATGAAGATTTCAAACTAAACACTTGAACGATCTGCCAAGGGGGAGTGCATCCCGAGAGGGGAAACTGGACCCTATTTAGTTGTTAGACACGTAGAAAAATGGAAACATTAAGAACGGGCAAATTGTTGGCGCGGTGTGAACCCACAACTTATAGGAAACTGATCCTATTTAGGTGATAGACACACGAAGAAAATCCGTTGGTAAGGCACGAACTCATGACTAACCAGTTTTCAATGGTTTTATCCACTCTGCCACTAGTGGGAAGTAATATAAAAGACATGCAATACATAATTAACTCCCAAGGGAGTTGAAGTGTCACGTGGTCAGTGAACAGCCGTACTGAACGAATTGGTACCACGTGACACTCCCAAAACGTTCTCGTTACTACTTGCATGACTCGAAATTAGGCATTTAGCAAGACTTCTTAATTACATACTGACCGATGTGTTAATATATTATTGTTTATTGTAGTTAACTCCGAACAATAGACACTGACGACAACGTAAAAAAGTGAGCTGTTGTTTGGGGGTTATTTTGTATGCATTGCTGAAAAAATGGTTGTTGTATAGAGCTGGCTGTTGTTGGGCGGAGGCCATTATTCGAGGTTCGACCGTGTTAAAATTAATTAAATGCAGTTTTAAATGCATTCAAATAGAAAAAATAACGAAAACAGTTCATTAAAATATGGAAATTAAACAGGAAAATCAAAGAATATTAAATGTATTGATTAACATTGATTAAGTCGTGACACGATGATAAAGAGACTGCTTTACAAAGAGGAGAAATATCGAATTTAAATGAAATATAAACAAATAAATCTTAAAAAAAAGTGAAATCAATAACGTTCGTTACTAAAATATAACAAAAGAAATTAAATAGATTACATGGCTTAAGGAAAATAACGATTTCTCCTACGAAAAACTAACAAGTTGGCTGAAGGGATGACTCAAAAATCAATTAACCTTAAGATTATACAATAGAAACCAATTAACATTCTTCTAACCGGCTTGAAAAACCACTTTTAGAATAAACTTAAAATACTGTATGGTTGGTTAACTGATTTTTGGACCACCCTGTATTCCAGAAGTATTTCATTGTTCTCTTACTTCTTACAAGAAAAATTTATAAAGGAGGTGAAAATGAGTTGTATGAATAAAATGAATGAAAAGTCTAATTTTTATTTATTTCTTTCGTTTATTTTGCAATTTTCATTTATATAATGATTAAATATGGCTGTAAACGACGAATTTATAAGCGAAAATCTGCCAAACAGTGAACTAACTCTCTAATTTCAAGAATTAATAAAATAAAAAATAACATATAAAATAAAATAAATACACAAAAAATGCCTCTAAGTAAAAGGGCAGGTGTGGGCTAAGAATTTCTGTGTTTTAGTTTTTCTTTTATGTAGGATTTCCATGCGGAAGCTAGTCCATCTGCGTCCCTGGCATTAATACAACCATCCTTTAATTTACTTTTATAGATTTCAATTTTTTTTTCTTTGTGCATTGATAATGATGGGGAATGCGTAACTCTGAGGACAGTCACTTCATCCCATTTAACCACAGAGTCCTCTGCTTGTGCCATACAGGATAAAACTGTATTGCAGTGCTCTTTGTTAATGTCATATTTGTGCTCCTTAATTCTGGTAGCTAAATTCCTTCTTGTGACCCCAATATAGTCCTTCTTAATTCCTGATTTTCAAATGGAATTTTATATACGCCCGCCTTTTCTTCATTTTTAATCATGTCTTTATCATTTCTTAAAATACTGTATAAATTAGGCGCTCTTTTGAAAACTATTTTTGAGTGTTTTCTGTCCAATAATTGTTTCATGATTTACTTGATGTTTCGATTATAACTGAACTTGGAGATTTTAAAATGATTTGTTTGGGTTATTATATTGCCTCCTTCATATTTTTAAACAAGGAGTATTGGGATGTTTATTCAAAATCTCAACACACGTATGACAAGGGTGCATTGTCTCACTATTTTTATTTTAGCTATGACTTCATCATGAGGAAATTATGAGTGAGATTAATTTAGGTATGGTTTATTTGGTTATGTCAATGTGACACATTGCTGATGGGGAGGATGCCTCCAGGGAGGACTTTTATAGGAAACCGGTCTTTATTTAGGTGTTACAGATAAGAAGAAAACTACATGGCCAGCCCATAGGCTGGCATGAACTCATGACCAACTACCAGTGTTCAGTAATTTTATCCACTCAGCCACTGGTGAGCCATGAATTTAGATTCCCATATAAAAGGTCAAGGTGGCAGCTTACCGCTCTGGGGACCCAGGGTCCTTCCAGATATGTCAGGTTCTCACCACCTGGCCGCTCCATTGCGGACCTGGCTGAATCTATAATGGTCTTGCTAAAAGAGTACCTCTTAGACATATAGGGCGAAAAGAGAAAAAAAAACGAACATCAAACACTAATCTGCCAACCAAATTTCGCGAAAAATGGACCAAATATTTAAACTCTGCACCCTCGAAAATCAATAATAATGATATAATAAAGAATAATAATGCTGTGTTATAATTATATTACTATATTTATATTTCATTAATATTCTTCTATTTCAGTTATATTTACGTAAGAAACTTTATAGAAAATAATAAAATACCTCCATAACATCAGCAATGATTTTCCATTGATCTTGATTTAAATCAACACCTGTTGGATTGTGTCCACAAACGTGCAAAAGAATTATGGATTTTTCAGGAGCATTCTGTAATAAATCTTATGTGATACATATTTGTATAATTTACTATTACAGTATTTTAATTTTAGAAAATTATATATACTTGTAAATCTTCTTTCATTCCTTTAAGATCAAGTCCTTTAGAAACAGAATCCCAATAACGATATCTTTTAATATCTTGAAATCCAGCCAGAGGAAAAACAATATGATGGCTAGCTAAGATTTGAACATAATTTCTTAATATTTTAATACTGTATTTAAAATATTTTTAAAATTTCTTACGCCAGGAAGGCTCTGACATGTAAAATGTTCTGTAATTTAGACATTTTGTCAGAAACTCTGCACCCATCCTTAAGGCCCCGGTTCCACTTACGGTTTGAATACCTAAAACCTATATAATTACATTTTTGTTTATTTATTTAAATTATTTTAAGTTTTAGCTATGATATGAAACTTACAGTGGTTCTTAATTTATCAGATAAAACATTTCTTTTATTAATAATACAGTCAAATTTCGGGTTTCGAACTTAATTCGTTCTAAAAATTGTTCGAAAACCGATTTGTTCTCAAACCCAAATTTTCCCATATGAAACAATATAATATGAATTAAACCGTTTTTGACTCCAATAACAGTTTTTTTTTAACATTTTTAGCCGTACTTCATGCATAAAACGCAATATAATATTGTCTATCTATAGCCATTATATATAAAACAAAATGTTCCGTCACTGCCAACAGAAACCATCACTTTTTATGTTTGGTTTAAGTTATGGCAACGCAACACTTGGGCGATCTGCCTAGGGGAGTATCTTTTTAAGGGTAACTGGCCGCTATTCAGGCATTACAGACATGGAGGAAATCCGGAAAACTCCACGTGGTCAGCCCGTCCTGATAAGGCACGAACCCATAACCGAACGCCCAGTGTTCAAGGAACGGAACCGTTCGGCCACCATCACTTTAAAAAAAAGAAAGTGATATAGAGACTCGACTCTGCCTGGATGAAATATAACCAAATCAAGTTTCAGTTTCGGTGTAAAAACCAGAGTTTTAATTATTATTATATTATTTTTAGTTTTAATTAACTGGCTACCTAATATTAATAAATATTAAGTTAAGNTCAAACCTCTGACAACGGCCACTGACGGAAGCATAAAGAAGGGCCGTTGTTTTTACGCATTTTTGTTCAAAGAAAAAATGTTTCTGAAAAAAACGGTCGCTGTTTACAGATGGTCGTTTATTGGAGATTCTACTGTTAACGAAAAGTTCCTAAAATAAAAAAAATGGCCTCTCTTTCTCCATTACTAAAATTATTTACTTAAGAAATTAGTATATTACGGGTTTACACTTTCTGGTTTAACTGGCAAATTAACATTAAAAAATTCAATTTTGTACACTAATTTACTTATAAATTTATAAGTAAATTAAATATTATTGCATCTTTAAGATTAATATAAAAAAATAAATACAGAAGAAAATTACACGATTATGTGAACTTTAGTAATTACTCAATGGTCACGGATAGCTAAACTGCTGCCATCATCCATAACCAGAACGTGACATCGCTCCATCTCCTCCTCATTTCTCGCACGCATGAACAAATGGAAGCCAAAAATAACTTCAAATATCTTCAAATATACTTTTGTATCTGATATTTATTAAGATTCGTATAAAACAGGAACCATCAACTGGCAAAACACGAAATCTGCCCATCACTTAACTGCCCCCACTTATCGGTAGTATTAAGCACGTGGCATCACTTTCATTCGCATTTATCAAAGTAATTTCGATTGTGTTTCGTGACGAATTTGTTCCTCCCAACACGCACAAACTTTTCTCTTAACGTAACATTTAACCAAGTGACTATAAATAAGAAATTTTGGCATTAAGTGACGCCACGATAAGTCGAGGATTAGACATAATGAAGCTGGATAAAAACCGGTTAATCTGAGATTACAGGGGATGATGCGGATTATCTAGAATTCTTATAAGTTGTATCTAATTAAAATGATTTCGATCGGATTTATGTAAGATGCCACTTGAATGTCATCTTTAATTTTCTTTTAGGATTTTGAATTCTACAAGCAAATTGAAGGTAAGTTCTGGAATATCCTACTTAACTAAGATGCTTATATTATGTTCTAGAAGCATATTGGATTGGATAGTAGGATAATGTCACAGGGGATGTCTACCAGGAGGACTTTCTATGGAAAATTGGCCCCTATTTAAGTGTTAATCTACAAATACACAAATTACATAGTAGAGTGATCATTCTTTCAAGATTTCTCCCCTTTTACACACGTAAATTCTTCTGATACGAATAAAAATTTTAAACAGTTACAAATTGTTTGATAATTTATTTACACAATGAAGACCCTTAAGAAAGTGATGTAATTTAACTATATGGTCCTGTAGTGTTAGAAAAGACTAATTATAAAGATTTTAATCTACTTTATGTGTCTTTTAACTATTGGTAATTTTTTATTAATTAATAAACAGGGGCCAGTTTCACATAGAAAGTCTGTCCGGGTGGCATCCCCTTGGAAGATCGCCCACGTATCGCGTTGCCTCATACAAATACGTAAAACCTAAACCATGCAGATGATTCTTAAATTTGAAACAATACCGTGTTTAAAAAAGCCATCAACAAGTTACGTAACTTTCCCGGCTGTTAAGATTTTATTTAAAAAATAACTTTTATATTATTAACCATACTATTAATAAATTAAATTGTATGTGGCGCCATCTGTTAAAAAATTTTATTATAACAGAGAAAATATCTTAATTTTGAGGGCAAGGATGAGTTTTATAAAAAAAATTGTAAATTTTAATAACGAGTAAAGTCTTCATTAAGTTCGACTCCACTCGAGATACGACACGTGACCGCCTCTATCTCCCCACCTCTTGACCTATAACCTCAAAATATAACAGTATTAATGCTCCTTATACACAAACTACCATGCCCAATTTCATTGCATCAGGTATTAAATTAAATAGATACATAATTAAATAGATACATCATTTTTTTTTTTTACCTTTTTGGGTTCAGAGGTGTCAAAACATCACAATTCCAAGAACCCGGAGGGTCAAACATGACACAATTACAATAATATATTATAACAGTCGGAAATGTAACCCACTTTACGTTAAAATGGTTAGAAAAGTAAAAAAAAAAGTAAAAATTTGAGAGGACTACAATACTTTTTTGTGTAATTACGTAAATAACAGAGGAGAAAGTAAAGTGAAGAATTTCTACTGTTATCTATGTAAAAATGTAATTTTTTAAAATAATTTTATTGATTAAATTTAGTAAATTTATCTTATAAACCAGCGTAAGGCTTACATTTCTGATAAATTTAACAATTATTATGAATAATAACTGATCTTATAATTTTATTTTAAATATTTTTTATTGAAGGTAACACGATAAGATAATTTCTTTATTTCTATTTTTTTTAAGTAGATAGTGTTTTTGATTAATTGCTTTGAAATTTAAAACCAGTTTTCCCTTTTCTTCGCTCTATAATGTATTTATTTGTTTTGTTAATGATGTTTTTTTTTTTTTTGTTCAAAAAGTCCCTTTATTCCCTATTTTTCCCTCTTTAGTTGAGTCTAGGATTCTTAATGCATGCATAAATACCAGAAGTCTGAATGTTTTGAATTATGTCTAAGCTAAACGAAGCAATCTGTTGTGACTGCACGCAAAATAAACGTTACATTTTCTGTTTATCATCAGCGTATTTATTATGAAAATATAAAATATGAAAAGTTATTTTTGAAAAAAATTGCTTGTATTTTAGAATTTATAATGGAGTGCAACACTATCGTCATCGTTATTAGAATAAATTACTTTTTTTCCTGAAGTTTTTGAAACAATTATGAGTTTATTGCATCAAGTCAGCTGTGAAAAGTAGTGTGTGCGTAGTAAAGTGTGCAAAGTAGGCTGTGAACAATAGTGTTGAAAGTAGAGTGTGCAAAATATACTTGTGCATATTAAGGTATGCAAAGTATGGTGCTCATTAAAGCGTGCAATAAAATATTCAAATATAGAAAGTCTTATTTAACTTTTAGAAAAGAACATAACAACGATAAAATCAAAGTTTTTACACTGAATATAACCTTAATACAGTAAAAATCTCTAATATTCATTAATTATACCGTATCAATGTTATGTTCGGCACCGAAGTTTTGATACTGAAGCATGAAAGTTAGTATTAAAAATTTTGATATTAAATCTTTGCGTATATAAAACAAATGACTGCAATAATTTATTAAATATTTCATACAAAAATTCATATACAATAAAACCTGTGTAAGCTGGAATCGCACTGTACGAAATATTTTACCGGTTTGACAGGTTTCCGTTTTGAACAAGTTGTTTTTTAATGTAGAAAATCGCATCGTTTCGAAGAATTTTTCCCGTTTAGGGAAGTTTCCGTTTGAGATCGGATTTACTGTATTTTATCAATGAATAAATTCAGAATATAATTTTAATTTTTTGATTGAGGTTATCATATATAAAAGATGTGATGCAATTTTATGAATTATTATACGGATATTAAGCAAGTAACCTGTAAAATACACTCAAAATTAAGAAAATTATTAATAAATTCCGGCCTTTAAATCACGTGGATATTTCAAAAACCAAGAGCTTAATAGAAAGCTCTTGGTTTTTCAATGACTCCGATTAACTATATTTTGGATATATCTAGAAGGAAATATTCTTGTAGATTCTTTGGGAACATTCTAGAATGGCATTTAAGGGACATTTTAGATCATCCCCACATCAAATTCTTAGTTATAAATTGTAGGTAACAGACACTACTTGTCACTACTTGTCTAATAGATAAAATTACTGAACGCTGGTAGTTAGTCGCGGGTTCGCACCCTATCAACAAGCTGGCCAACTGGAGTTATCTGGATTTTTTTTCTCGTGTCTGACGCCTGAATAGAAGTCAATTTCCCATAGGAAATCCTCCAGGGAGTTGGCAGATCGTTCAACACAAACACTCGGACGATCACACAAATATAGCCTTCACAATTGTCAGCTGACTTTTGGACCACGTTATACAATTGATTTCATGCAAACAACGTCCGACTAGGAGTGATGTAAGGATCTGAAAGGCAGCACCAACATAAATGCAGTCCAAACCTCTAAACAACAACCACCGACGTGAAGATAAAATGCTACATCCGTTGTTTAGAAGTTATTTTGTACACGTTTTTGTTTTAAAAAAAATGAGCGCAATTTAGAGGAAAGCACGCAATATACGGGGAAAACATTATAAAAAGGTTAAAGTGTGATTAACGCTATAAATTATGTAAAACGCAAGCGATTCTCAGTAATTTCCCTTACGAGACACGCAGTTACATAAGAAAACACGAAAGGAATTAAACAACGAAACATAAAATAAAATACAATGGCATAAAGAGAATTTCCAATGGGAATTTCACATTAGAAAAATTGCTATAACGCGACGATATCGGCACGTGCAAGAATGCGCTCGAGAGAGAACGATTAAATTCCATCTTCTTCTTACTCCGGGATGCTGAGAGGATGTCCAGGTGAAAAAATAATTTAAAAAAAACACTTAAATGAAGATCGTTTAGGTGTTACGAATCGGAAAACATATTCTAGAAATGTTTTAGTTAAAGTAGTCGACCGTCTCAATTAGTTGTATGGAAGATGCAGCTCCAGGGGAAGAGTTGGAACGATACTATTGACGGTTGTCATGGTTACAGTTCCGTGACACAAAACCTTTTCTCTCGAGAATCATTACGTCAACCATCTAAGAGAAGTTTCCTTTTTTTTCTGGATAACTTTCGCTCTACAAAAGCGATTATCTACAGATAACATGAGATGATTTCACTTAGATAAACAAGATATCAGTTGAAACTGTAGTTGTCATTTGCTAAATAATAAAAAAGTCGATATATTTGATAAGTTTCAAGTGCACTAAATGACACTTTCTATTTTTGTTTATCTTCAAACTTCACTTTACGTAATTTCTAATATTGATGCTGCTGCATCTTCCGTACTTAAAGTAAATAAATAATTGAATTATGCGCAATTTTGTCAAATTATACAATTATATCTTATGTTTTTACTATAAAATTCTATTTTTTTTAAGTTTTTTAGTAACAAAAATGGTACTTTTCTCGAACACATTACCGAATGCATGAATGATAAGATGATTAACGATGAAGCTTGATGTTAACGCACTTTGAAAAGTTGACTTGACTTATTAATCGATTTTTAATGTAATTATCGATTATCTACAAACGGAAAACAAATATTTAAATACATTTTATGAAAATGTAAAAGAAAATATTTAAATAAAACAAGAAAATTACAATCGATACATCAGCTTCTACTTCGGAAATTATTTGCATTTATTTCATCTCTTTATAAATTATTTTCTGTTTAAATTTATCTTATTTTACTAAATATATATTCTATAACAATTTAATAGATTGCATATAGAAATTTTAGTGAATTGAGTGCAAGTAATTTAGGGATAAGAGAAGGATGCTTTAAGAGGGATGAGGAAAGGATGCTCTCACTTTAAGAAGTGATGTTGCGCGCGCTTTTTTACACTTAAAAACTCGAAAATATAAATTATAATATGTAAAATACGTGGTGTTTCTGTGTGTAACATAATATTTATCATAAAAATAATCATAAATTCTAGATAAGGCTCAGAAGAATGGAAGAGTTGTGATCTCGGCTCTTCGCTTTAAGTATTATAGAAAATCACTTATTTAATTGGATATAACACATTTATACATCTGTATAACTCGGAAAGCATATCAATTCCTCAAAAAAAACAGATTTTTTTGTATAATTTCCTTACTTTTATCGTACAGAAGGTATAAGGTGTAAGTATATAAGCTGCACTTTCAACGTTAAACGCATAAAAATCTAATTATTTCATTAAATTTTCAATAAAAATTTCAAATTTATAAAAATATATTTAATTTAATTTAATTACAGACAAAAATTAATTACAAGACAAGAATATCTTTAATCCAACTCTTCTTTACGGGGCTTAGAAGTACTTACAAAGTTTTATTTATTGACAAAGTATTGTTTACTCAGTTAAAGGAAGGGGAAAAAAGAGGAAGGATCTAAGATTAATTTCTGTTAAAAAAAGAAAAAGAAAAATGGGAGTGAAAATCGTTGTACAGGTTATTTTTAAAGTAATTATAATAATTGCTAAACTGGGATTTAATAAAGATTAAAGAGGAGAGGATGGGCGATGTCCTTAAAATGAAATCTTCGAAATTAAACAGGATTAAGGTTGTTAATTATTAATTCTTAAAACTAGACTTATTGGATTAGAAAGTTCGAATAAAATAATTAAGTGAGATCAAAGTAAAGTCTAAGGATTTAAAAAAATTCACTTGATTTAGCGCATTGTTTAAAGAATATAAATCGACTTTGCACTGATAAATATATAATTATTGTTTGTTTAAATGTTTAAATCGAAATTTTTATATGTAAAGTAATTTTTTAAATAAAAATATTTCATTTTTTTCACTTTTTTTCACTTAAAAAATGAGTTTTTTGTCAAGGAACTTCTCAGTTTTTCATCGCTTAATCTTGATTTTTGTAATGATAATTAAGGTTAATCCATTAAAATTGATTTAATTAGGTAAAAAAATTTTTCATTTAATCAATATTCTGGTAACAATTAAAATATTTTTTTTAAAAATTGGATAATTTTCATATAGAAAATATTCTAGTTTTCATTTATTAATCCTGGTTTTCTTTATGAAAATTAAGGTTAATTGATAAAAAAGTTATAATTTAATTGAGTTAAATCTTTATTAATCGGGTATTTAACTAACAATTTACGAATATATTTGTCAGAAATCGTCAAATAAACAAAGTTATAAGTTAAACAATTGCCCATTTCTCTAAAGAATGCATATTAAGCAATTCTTAAGTGATAATATGTTGAAATATATTGTTAATTGTTTAACGAAACTGAACGATTTAACAATGTATTTAAGCTAAATCTCGAAATCTGTTTTGTAGATTGCACCGTTAAGAGACATTGAGAGCCATTTAACAATGATTATATGAAGAGATAATTGAGTTATCTGCTAAATAAAGGAAGTTATTCGACTTTTAAGATGATCCACTTCAATGAAATGACCTAATTTTCAAGGAACTTAATGCTGTTCAACATGCTAAGAAATGGATAATAAAGTCTCTAGAATCGGGGACAAGCTGTCAATTCTTAGACTCAACCTCAAAAATACACGTAAGAAACCGTTAAGAATGTTAAATAAAACGAATTATTTGACGATTTAACTTAATGAATTTAATTAAAATCCGTTTAGAACCTTGTTACAATTTAAGTAATTCTCCTTCTCTGGAGTAGAAAGAGTAGAAAGTCATTTAAATATCCTCTTTTTCTGGAGCAGAGGGAGGAATGAGGTATGATAACAGATGTCTAATGCTGAAAACACTGAGTTTAATTGATAAAAATTATGATTAATCGGTTATTTTAATAATAATTTATGAATGTTGAGTGAACAGAAACATATTTATCAAGTTTAATGCGTTATTATAACTCTATTCGATAAGTTTGCCTTGGAATTTAACGTTATGGTAAGCACCATACTGATGATTTTTATGAGGAAGGAGGAAGAGGAGGGCCTTGCTAGGTAATTTTTATGATAAAAAGTTCCCATAGAAGAGGTATTTGCTGGCCTGAATTGTACTCCAGAACTTAGATTTCGTTCCATAAAGATATCTCGAATATAGAGTATATTAGACCAAAACAAAGAATCTGTAGGAGCTTAGTCCTCTATATAGTGTGACATATTCACTGTTACGAGATNAAGCAGTAATGGGCAACTTGTCAGAATGCCATTAGAGTCATTGGCAGGACATTTGCTCTACTCTTAATAATCTCGCTAACTTCGGCACATAAATCAACATTTTTATTATCTACCAGAGACCTACACACGCAGAAAAATAAGCAAAATTATAATAAAATAAGGCCATAAAATAGCATAATTTTTAATTAATTATTAAATTTCCTTGATTAATTACGTATCTAAAGCATCAGATGTAACTTAAGAAAGTCGTCTGCTGATGGGAATTTTTTGTTATTTATGTGTTAGAAACTTATAAAATTAATATTAAAACAATATATTATGCTCAATTAATATATTTTTTAAGTAATTTCTGATTTTTCCGATTAATTATTCAGTTTAAACGTTAATAAAAAGCCTCAACTAGTTGTTTCCTTATGGGGGAAATCTGCTAATCTTTTGACACAGGAAGCTTCAGATTCGGCATAAAATCATAAAACGTAAGCTGTATTAATTAATAAAAATCAAATTTTGTTTATCTTTTAAATAAATTTTAATTTTTTTATGATTAATTATATATTTAAACATTAGACAAAGGTTAAACTAGTTTGCTCTTGTTATGACTTTAACACTGAAATCTTATAAAATTAGCATAAAAATAAGAGAGTAATATTGTAAAACAATTTATAAAAGTAAAAATAATTTATTTATTGTATAATAATTGTCAATTTTTCCTGATTAATTATGCGTAGTTAAAATATCAGAAGCTTGATGCCATTTTCTGGTAAGAATCTATTATTATTTCTACACTATAAAATTAATATTAAAAAATACTAAAAAATGTATCATTTAATATAATATATTATATAAATTTTTCCTTATTTAGTGCGCTCTTTATGACGCCTTTTAAATACTTAAAAGTTTAAGAGAATTGTCTTTTAAAATAATTACTTTTAAAATAAACTTATTAATTTTTCATACAAATAAATTTTAAAAATTAACTTTAAAACTATTTATTTATCATAAATAAACAAAAATTTACTTTTAAACTAAAAAGAAATTTATAAATTAAAATATGAAACTATTTACATATTACATATTAATAAACTTGTAATTATAAATTCACTTAATCAGTTATAAAAGTCATAATAAATGTATTAAAATATTTTTAAAATTATTAAAAAATTTAGAATAATTCCTTACTAAATTTTATTTAAGAAAATATACATAAAATGAATTTATATTATTATTATTATTATTAAAATATTGTTTAAAATAACAGAAAAATAATTAGATTTAACTCTAAATACGCGAAAATAACGTTCGAATAATTAAGAAATTGCTGATAAAGGAAGAAAAATCGCCTTTAGGAAGGATAAAGAAAGGAGTTTGAACAATTAACCGATTTTTCTTTATAATTAATATAAAAGTGACAGGTATATAAAACGGAGAAATCACCCACGACCAGTTTGACACACACACTTTTCCCTTATTTACCGAATTATCTATATAAATTACAATTAAAATATTAATAAATTCCTCCCTCCTACTCCTTCTCCGAGTAAGTTAAGCGAATATAAAACTAGATCTAGGTGAGATATGTGTGTTAAGGTTACACAGAACAGGAGGGTAAGAAAGAAAGAAAAAAAAAATAGGATGGTGCTACTCACCCGCATATAAGATCCTTTCCATCTACAAATATTTAAAGGTCTATCAAAGGGAATGAACGATGTCGGTTATCATTCGATAAAGGTTTTTGAAATGGAATAATGCTTGTTGCGTGTGAGCTTTAAAAGTGAACTAAACAAGCGGGGAGAACCGCAACACGTTAAACCACACGCCTGAATTTCCGAGTGGCGCTCGTCTCTGTGACGTAACACGGCTTGGCCAGACTGTACACGTAAAATGCGCTATCCTACCTGTTCTCTTACCTGGCCACATCGATTTATTATTAAGAGTTTAAACGTCACGTTTCATCCGTTTTTTTCATATTCAACTATTTTCTGCGCTACTTTATATCTCGATTTCTTAAATTATCTTCCATGTTTATCCTGTTTTTTAAGGTTTTGGGGTGGGGTACGCCATGCGATAGTGGGAAAAAAGAATAGGAGAGGGATCTAGAAATTTCGTGGAGGTTTGACACTTCATGGAAATGACGTACGAACGATTTATCCAATAATCAATATTACTTATGTTGTTCGCTTGCTTTAGTTATAAATCATACATTAGCTCCGTTTAATAGACAATACCTCCGCCCAAAATATTACATTTTAAGGAATAATTAAGCAATTTATTTACGTATTTCCGTATTAATTAGCAAAGATTCTACGCTCAATTACTCGTGTAAATTATACTTTTATCTTCTGTTTTTGATGGATAATCATTCCGAATGGTAGAATATTAAATAAATTTTGAAATTATTTGTTACTGGGTGTAATAATTACATATATTAAAAGTAAATTTCCTCTTTATCTCATAGTATGTGGGAGATATAAAGGAGTGTCCACATATTTGTGACTCCATCCCACCTCTCTTAGTATAATTGTACGAGTAAGATGATATTTATAGTTTTCAATAAGTGATTTTATTAAGTGATAAGGATTTTATTCAAATATCTGAAATTCTCATCCACATCTTAAATTCGGTTTGGATATTGAAAGGAAAAATCATAAAAATAAATGGAAAAATTCAAAGATTTTTAGTTCAGGGCGGATTCGCATTTGATATCAATCAATCAATGTCAATATGCTGGATGTTGTATTTTTTTAATTGCACTTTATGACACTTTTTATATTGCATAGGATCAAATAAATATTTTCCGATAATATTTAATGGAAAATTACTACGCGTACAACTGTATAAAGCAGCGTACACTTGTACAGTCGAGGAAGATGAGCTGAAATTTTAAATAATAATGATATTATTATGAAAAATGAATCGAAATCGGATAATCAAGAAGACAGCGATTTTACCAAAACAGTTAATTAAAATTAATTACTTAAATAACTTCATAATTAATATTAATTCAGTATGCAAATTTAATTTTATTGTTAATTTAGCATTCGATTACAGTTCTGCAATTTTTGATAAGTAAATTCGCTTTAAATTAGAATAATAGTAAATGATTCCGAAGCCTGTAAATGATGCTTCACTGCTATACACAGGGTGCATGCAGGAAAGTATAATTTACAGGCTATTTCGACAGATGTAATTTAAAGGAAAAGAAAATAAACGTCACCAAGCAACATGATAAATAAATCAATATTTGCATCCAAACTATAATTTAGTTCTGTCCAATGTACGTATAGATAAATATTACTTCGAGTATTAAAAAAAGAAATAAGAGCAGAATTCACTACTTTATTGATAGAATCATATTCTTCTATGTTAACGTTCGTTAGGAAAATAAATCAGGAGTTAAGTATAATAATTTAAAAGATAAAACGTTC